TCACCAGTCGCAGTGGCGATTGAAATGGCGTGCAAGCGCCTGATGAGTACCTAGCTGATCAATGGACTGCTCATTCACCGCTCATCATTCTCTATTCACCATTCAACAATCAAGCTTGGGCGCTGACTTGAAATGAATGGAATGGGGGCAGCTAGGCAGGCATGATCCAGTGTTTGCATGGCCCGATTCTGAATTCAATCAAATGCGCGTCTCTGCTACCGGCGGTAGGTACTCGTTATGTGATCGAGACGCGCGGATTCTGATTGCATGGCGGTCTGGGCGCGGACGACAAGCGCGATCGAAGGCGGTGTCGAAGGTCACACGACCCACGGGCAATACGAAAGATAAGCTGGACGGATGCGGTGCAATTGAAGGGATTCGAACGGATCAAATCAATGGCCTCTGATTGCTTGGCGCCGATCTTGTCTCCCGGATCCATTCGAATGCTTTGAGACAGGATCACCTTGTACTCGACTCATTCAAGCAGTTACTTGACCTCACTTGCTCACACCATCGGCTGGGTTTCATTCATCACAAAAACCCATAGCAGATCAGCTCCACCTCTCGATTTCGAAACCAAAAAAAAAAAAAAAAACGGGTATCGAAAAGGGAAGCAGATCCAAAGTCAAAGTCAAATCATGTCGCATCCTCTCTCTCTTCATTCCACGTCCACATCCACTGGCAAATCGCTCTACAAAGACCTACCTCGTCGTTCTTCGCTTCCTCTCCACACAAAGACTCTCCTCCTCTGCGTCGATGCCGCTCAACGCATCTTATGCGCCAGCGCAGGCTTCTTCTCTTGCTCTCTGGTCGCTGCACCGCTCGTAATCTTGCTGTGCCTTGCTCCTAGGTGCAAAGCGAGGGATTGGATAGTCTGCCAGTTCACACAACGTGAGTGCCAGTGTCGCCACCTCATTGCGCCTCCCCCTCTCCTCCCCTCGACGCTCTCAGCCCCTGCAAACCCTCTCACACACACACACCCATCATTCGCAGTGAGCTGGGACTTTATGGATCAGATCGAAATCTTCGAGGAGCACGATTTCAGTCGCATGTTTCTACAATGGATCTGCCGCAGTGTAGCAGCTCCTTCTTTCTTGCAGAGATGCGTCCTAGGCGCAGGGCTTTGCTCGACGCTCGCGGGCAGACTGCCGATGGTTGAAAAGCATGACGAGCACCTCCTTTCGAGCTGCAATGAAGAGCAAGAGCAATCGTTGAGAGTTGCGAGCATCGAAGAAGAAGCCAATTTGCTGGATGGTGAAGAAGCAGAAGAGGAGGAGGAGCAGCACAAGCATGGAGAAGTTGCGCCTGCGCTCCACACAGATCTCACTACGGGTTGTGGTAGGGACCAAAGTTCTTCGCGTGAGCCAAGAGAAACGCATACGGTGGTGCATGAAATTGGAGATAGTGGAGAGGGCAGAATCACGTCGTCCAGCCGTGCGGAGCGCCGTGCTCCCCGTCCCCACTCTCTTGTCAAGAACGACTCGGGCTTTGCGCTGGAGGTGGATTCGCCCAGCGCCAAGGCTGTGTCGTAGAACGTGCGCGCGTGGGACTTTCGGTGGAAGGCTGGTTCCTCCTGCGCTTGCTGGTGCATATTTCTAGATCGTTCTCGACCGGTATACCCAATCAATGTGAAATTCAACGCAAGTGATTAGGCAGGGCAATCAAAGAAGCGACTCCCTTGCGCATGTCTTGTTGCACCATGATGAGCTCGCATATCGCACAGCATCCTCGATCCAGCAGTGTTCGTCACGCCATTTCCAGAATGAGAGAAAAGAGGGCAACGTAGATGGCGAGTACTAGAACGGTGACGAAAGCGACTACGCCTCCTGCCGTGCTGAAAATGGGCGAGACGACGAGTGGAGCGTCTGCAGGTGTCCGAGCTGCATTCACCGTTCTGATCCCTTCTGCCGTCTGATCAGGAATCTGAATGCCAGCAAAAGATTGGGAGCGTTCGAGCGAAGGCGTAGGTGGGAATCTATCCTCCATCGCGGGTCTGGCTGGCGTGATGGTAGCCGTGCTACTTGAAGGACCTGATACGTCTCTCGCATTGCTCGTCGTTTCAGCGCGGGAGCATCCAGCTCCTGCGAACTGCGAGAAGGAACTGCTGCCCATTTCTACGTTGTCGAACTTCTCATTCTGAAGTGCCAAGTTGAATCTGTAAGCTGCAGCGCCGACAAAGATGAGCGCTAGTGTGGTGTACGCCACGCTGTAGGTAATCGCCAGACGTCGTCGTGGGTGAGCACGAAATCTCTGACAGCATGTGCGCGTGCCACAAGACCGGTTCGACTTCGCGACTGTCAGGGGTGACTCACCCGATGTAGTAGAAGCGTGTCTGGAAGAGACGCAATATGACGAGCGCGAATACTAGTTCTCCTAGTGCTGTGCGCATGTAAGCTCCGTCCTGTGCGAGCCCCGCAAGACGAGATGGTGGAGGGAGGCGACGCATTGTCAATGAGAGGCGCTCGGAACTGGTTTGATCGGGGTAGCCGCGCACCCAGCTAGCACCTGCACCCTTTTCCCCATCCCAACATCGAACTCTTCAAACGCACTCTCCCCGCCTGCATCACAAAGTGAGTACAAGAATACTCACAAAGGTCCTCTGAACAGCTCTCAAATCCTGCAATTCATCGTCTGTAAGATCCTGAATTGTTCTCGACTGTCGATTGGAAGCGCGGATCGAAGGTGAATCTCCGTCTTGGGGTCGAAAGGCAGAAGGCGCGAGGGCAGAATTGGCGTGGGAGGTGGTTGCGGTTGCTCGACGGCCAGTCGTCGCGTCGAGCTGATTGAGTGATGTGGCTGCATCTGTCTGAGATGCTGCGTTCTCGCAAACTTCTGGAGCGAGAGAGGGAGCACGCTCAATACTCTTGGCAGATAGACCGGGTGCGTCGGTAGTCATGTTCGCAGATCCTATGATCCCTCACAAAGCCTGGCAAATAGCTCGATTGCGACGTGCAGAGATTGCGAGCTCCTCGTTGGTCTTGCTTGTCCTCTTGTCTTGTCGAGTAGGTACGTAGGTGTGCGCATTCATGCTTGATGGTGCTCTCGAGGTGCCCGCAGTAACACACTGAATGATCAGCAGAAGGATGGGACAGAGCGGCCTCCTTTCACCTCGGTGAGACTCTTCTCATCTTCGAGGCTTGTGAGCTGCGCTCAAGTCAATGTGTTGGCTGTGATGGTGTTGGGATCAGGACTGGACGTCG